CTGATTAGTGGGATACAGGGTTTGTGGCTCCTCCAAGGTGGCTCACTGAGGCTAGTCTGGGCCACCTTTTTGAGGGAAGCAAAGGGATGTGCCAGCAGACCCAAGTGCTCTCCAGGATTAGGAGCCCTAGAGTGCTGTTTGCACTGCCTATCTGTGGGCACTAAACTTCAATGCTGGAAGTTCTTTCCCCTCTCTTATCTGTGGAGGGAGATTAGCCCAGGCAGAAGAAGACTCAGAGTATGGATTTCTGCTCTGAATCATCTCCAGGGACATCTCCCCTTTGGGTGTAAAGGCAGTCAGCTGACACTGAAGGAGAAACTTCCCTACATTTTGTACTTCAAGATGACAATTCACCTGAGATGTCAGTGCAGGCTAAGAAAACTGGATTTGTTCAGCCTGGAAAAGAGAAGGTTTCAGGGTGACCCAACCACGGCCTTTCTGTACCTGAAGGGAGCCTACAAGAGAGATGGAGAGGGACTTTTTACAAGAGCATGTAGTGACAGAATAAGGGGGAATGGCTTCAAACTGAAAGAGAGAAGACTTAGATTAGACATTAGGAACAAGTTCTTTACTGCAAGGTTGGTGAGGCACAGAAACAAGCTGCCCAGAGAAGTTGTGGGTGCCCCTGGAAGTGTTCAAGGCCAGGTTGGATGGAGCTCTGAGCAACCTGGTCTAGTGAAAGGTGTCCCTGCCCTTGGCAGGGGTTTGGAACTAGATGATCTTTAAGATCCCTTCCAACCTAAGCCATTCTATGGTTCTATGATTCATTTTTAAGGTTATAGTTAATAGATAAGCATTTACAAACTATTGCTATCAGGAGACAATTATTGGTCAAATTCCTATACCCTATCCAAGGACAAAAAGTAGTTTAAATGGCATACAGATGAATAGAGAGTTTGTTGCTCTCCTGTGATAAGCACATTGACCATCTTCTCCTGCTTGAAACCTTTAATATTAGTATGGGGGGAAGGCTCTCCTCCTAACTAGAGGGTGTTTTTGGTGTGGTTATTTTTTTTTGGTTGTTTTTTTTTTTTAATTCTCTTTTGTTTTGTTTTTGTTGTTTTTGGTTTTGTTTTTTTTTTTTTTTTTCAGAGAGAGAGACTGGGATTTTGAAGCAATTTATTAAACGGAGTTACCACAAATATGTGTCCTTTTTACATGTCCATTTTCAGGTTAGTGACCTGTAAAAATGCTCACTCTGCTGAATCTTTTAAAGCATGCAATAAACCAGAGTTTTATGGAAGAGAACAAGACAATGTGTACGAGTCTGACAGATTTGCATGAGCCAAAATGTTCATTGTAATTTTATCACAGTGTTATCAATATGAAAACTGACAATTACCTGTGATCAGCGAGGCTTGAACCTCTTTCCACCAATAGATGCTTTTTTAATTGCTGTGTGCTGTGCTTTTGACTCACAGTTTTAGGCAACAGCCTTCTGCCAAAGTTTTGTGTAAGGTGTGAGGTCTAACAAGCCCTGATTCAGTAACGACTTTAATGGTGAATGTAATTTTTCCCCTTTAGTCCCAGAGGTCTGAGACTATAGAAATCCTCATTTTTTTTTTTTCACTGAAAATGTTATGTGAGCAGGGGATATTATGAAGTTTGGTTAGGTTCTGCTGTCTCATACATGTGTGCTCACTGGCTGCTGGACTGAATGGAAAAGTGCTAGGCTCTCCTTGCCTCTTGCTTGGGAGGGTTCAAAGAAGTTTTTTTCCTCTGTTCCCTCAGTCCTTTAAAAAGGAAAAGAAAATTAGGGCCATTACTGCCCCTGATTACTCTTCCTTTGAGGAGCTTGGCCAACAGTTTCAAAAGCAGCTGAAAGAAAACAGAAGACAGGAAGACACACAGAGAGCATGATGATTTAAACTTTGTTTCTCTAGGAAACAGAGCTAGGAAGAGTACGTAAGCCTTAGTAACAGGATCAACATTCTCCAGACTTAAAGTTGGCTCAGAAATGAAAAGGAATGGATCCCCCATGTGCTGATCATTTAAAAAATGCTCACAAGCTCTCATTCAGTTTTATGATTGTTTTGTGACTTGTTCCTGGAACTGAAAGTTTGATGCTGAGGTCTTACATATATATATATATGTAGTGTAGTAGAGGTCCCTTAGATCATCGATGGAGATACCTTTGTTATGGTATCCCAGTGCTACCCTAGCACTTGTAGGGATTGCTCCTATTAATCCTGTGAATGATGGGGGTCCCCATCTCCCCAGTACTAGCTGTGCTTGGGTGAATGTGTCTGACAGCAATTTGCTCTTATTGACTGTTAGATATGATGTGCTTACAAAAATTGCTAGAAAAATCCAGATGGGAGAAAAAAAGGTCCCCTGGTCCAACCAGACTGGTGAGAGAATAGTAAAAGGCAGAAAAGCACAGCTGCCTTTGCATGGCACAATGCAGGGCTGTCCTTCTTTCTCTCCTTCCATGCCTCTGGCACTAGATGAGCCCTTCTGAGCCTTTTTTATCAGGTAGGAACTGAAAAGGGCAGTACCAAAGAACTTGCTGTCTTTTAGAAATCTGTGTCCTGGTGCAAAGTTTTATTAAAATAAACTGTGTGGAGCAATCTGAAGCTGAAATCTATTTATCTTTCTTTTTTTCTTTTTTTTTCCCCAAGCCTATTGCTGGGAACTTTCTTCCCCAGAGACTTACAGACTCTTCTGTCATAACAGGTGCAGCCTGGGGGACGGTGGTGGTAATCCACAGATCCTCCTGGGAGTAATTACGCTTCTTTTCCAGTTCCCCTTGTCTGATGCATCTCTCTGGTAGCACTTCTGCCAGCAGCTGTGATCATACATTAACTTTAATCCATTCAGTAGAGGGAGTCAGATGCTAAAATCTGAGCTAGCCCCTCCAGATCAAGACCTTGTATTTGCATGTGGGATCTGAAATACTTCATTCTTTGCTGTCTGCTTAACCCAGGTGAGGGTGTCTGGGGTGTCTTGGTCTCAGCTGAGCTGGCTAAACTCTGCTGTAATGACAAAATCACAGTGGCAATAACAGCAATATAATTGACAGAGTCATCATGACAATGCTCCTCAATGCTGCCTTGCAGGATCCATCTCTGTGAGTGGGTGATATTTCTCTACATCTGTGTAGCTCCCCTGCCTCTCTGGTCGACATCGCTTGCAGTAGTGCTGGCTGTGTATAGTTGGAGGGACATTTGGTTCCATTTTGTAATGAACTTTCCTCTCTTGTGTTCATGGAGATCTGGTACCATAGCACGGCTTCCAGGCATCATCTGCCACCTATTTTCTAAGGAAGAAAGAGGGAACTGATCTAAGGAAGGGTAGGGACTTGGCGCACAGAGGCATATAAGGAATTATGCCTCCCAAACTTGGTGTGTCTCTTCAAAAACAGGATGTTACACAAAAAGTTGATGTGAATTTGGCATAAGGATCTTCTTGAATTGTAAAAACAATCATGTAGCCCCACTCCCCAGCATCTCAAAGGCTTTTTCTCAACAAAATCTGTAGAACCTTGAATGGCCAGGGTGGGATGGTGTGGCTCACAGCAGGTGCCATGGGTCATGGCCCATCCCAATGAGCAGAAGGAAGGATGGCAGGAGGCTCCTGTACCCCTGCCCAGCTAAGTGATGCCTCATGAGAAGCAATTTGGGTGTTTGGTCTTCAGATTACTCAGCAGGGTGGTGCTGGGGAAGGGGAGAACAGTGAAATCTTTCACACAACCCTTGTAGCCGATCAGCAGAGAAGCAAAAGTCAGCTGCATGTCCTAAAATGATGTCTGTGGTGTAAAACACATTGTGAGAGGTCAGGGATGGTAGTGACTAATACTTTGGAGACAGACATGAAGAGGGAACCAGTCTCAAACTGGTGGCTAAAATCTGGCCTATTTGACTTCTTCTGTGTTATCTCATTATTTCATTAGGAAGTTTTGAACCAAGAAACACGGTGGGATGCAAATATCTGCTTCAAATGTTCATTCTGAGAATGGTAATTGAGTTTTAAATATTTATGGCAGAACCTGGAGTTGTACTAGTGAATGCATTATAGACTCTCCCCAGTGGTAAGCCTGGCTTGCAGTAGACCTTGCTCTGCAAACAGCCTCACTACAGTGAAGGGCGGGGAAAGGAAGGGGAGGAAACCAAGTAGACTTCTGTGAAAATGATTTATTTAGCTGATTATAGAGGTCTTAGTCCTCCACAGCCAACTCTTTCAGTGTGGAGCCATGGGAACTGGGAAGGAGAGGGCTGTTCTAACCAAACATGGCACCTGGACAACCTAAAGATCTGCATTCACACCACTTGCAAGTGTTTGCCATAAAACAACACAAACAACACTAGCCCTCCAAAAAGATGAGTCAGTGAGGAGTAATAGACTCTTGGCTACTCTTGCCATTTGTAGCTCTCGCTGCTTGTCCTTACTGATCCCACCTGAGATACTAGGAGGTACCTATGTATTTTTTTTCTTTTACTGCTGATGGAAATAAGATTGTTTTTACTCTAGTCAGTGCAGAAACGAATACACGATCCTGTGCTCTATAGTAGGCACAGGTCTTGGTGCAATGGATAAAAGGAGGCCTTATTCTTTAGCCCAGCCCTGGTCTGTTGTGGGAAGATAACATGCCACATGTACATGTTCCATTACTTTAATGTGCACTAGTAATACAGCTCTAAGCACCCAGCCGAGATTGATGATCTCAAGGCACCAGTTACTTGAGAACCTGTTTTCCAGGGGGGTTTCTTTAGCAGCCCTGCGTACCTCGCGGGGGCAGCTCTGGTGAGTGTGCGGGAACAGGCGCTGCTCAGCCAGCCGCCCCTCGGGGAGCGCGCTCAGGTGTGCAGCCTCCCCTCACCTTGGGCCAGGTGGCAGAACAAGCTGCAGCAGAGCCCTTTGCCAGCGCTGGGGAAGCCCCCGAGCACGGCGTAGCCCCTCTCCCCGCTGGTAGGGCCGGGCCGAACCGTGCAGGGCACGGGGTGCCCGCGGCCGCCCCTCCTCGCCCGGGCTGCCGCCGGGGGTCCCGGTCCCGCTCTCCCTCACCCACCGCCAGTGCCCGGCGCGGCCCGGCCCTGGCCGGGGCGGGGTGAGGTGAGGTGGAGCGGTGCGCACAGGGGTCCGGGCGGCTCCGGCGCTCCCGCCGCCTCGGCCCCGCCTCGCTCGGCCTCGCACCCCGGCGGGGCGGGGGGGACGGGGGGCGGTGCCGGCTGCCGGGGCGAAGGCGCCGGCTGCGGCGGTGGCGGGCGCGGGGCTGCCACCCCGCGGGCAGGCACGGCGGCGGCGGCGGATGGCGGCAAGGTCAGTGGGCGCCCGCTTCCCGCCGGCGGGGCTCCCCCCCACGCCGGCTGCCCCCCCTTCCCCTCGGAGCGGCGGGCGATGCTCGTGTGCCGTGGATCCAGCGGCGGGGGCGCTCCCCCCTCCTCCTCTTTCCCGGCGGGAGCTGGGGCCGCCCTGGGCGCGGATGCCCCCGCCACGCCTCCCTCCTTTCCTCCCCTCCCGCCCGGGCGAGGGGCAGACGCGCGTTTCGTAAGCGCCTGTCCTGGCCGGCTCCGGCGCGCTCGGCCGGCCGCGGGCAGAGCGGGGCTGCGCGGCTGCCGCTGCCGCGGGCGGTGCCGCGGCGATGCGCGGTGCAGGTGAGCGGCCGAACCGCGCCCGGGGCCGCCCGCTGCGCCCCAGGAGGCTGCCGGGGCACCCGGGGCACTTCGGAGCCCGGCGGGGTCGCGCCTGCATCGCGCCAGCGCTTTTCCGGGCGGAGGAGGGTTATCCGTGTGCTTCGCGAGCAAGTAAATCCAGATAACTTAAGAGAAGGGGTTTGGTGGGGTCCTTTGTTCCTGCGGGAGGTTTGGTGGGGGTTAGCGTTGTTTGTTGTTGTAGGGTTTTTTGGTTGATTTTCCGCTCCCTTCCTCATGCCGGGCAGTTAGCGGAGAAGATATGCGGTAACTCGAGTGCTGTCATTAAGTGCCAGACATCTCGCCGGGCTTTTAGGAAACGGCTTTAATTATTTTTTTTTTATGCCAACGAGGAGGAGAGGCGTGAAGCCCCCTGCCCAGGTAGGATACCCGCTCTGCGGAGCGGCAGCGTTCAGAGTTCCTTACGGCGTTAGATGCTGTCTCCCGGCTGAGGTCGAGCTGCCAAAAATGTGATTTACGGACCCTGCCGACATCCATCACCCGAGCGCTTTGTTCCGACACGCCGTCCGGTGGAGGGACTGCTTCGGGAGCAGCTCTGCCTCGCCTGAAACGTGGATACGCTCAGGATGTGTGCAGCAGGCTGCTAGCCAGGGAGGCATTAAGAGTGTTTGTGTAATAGGTGTCTGGGAAAAAAAAAAAGTAAACAGGCTTTTGATAAGGTCCCCTTAATTGAACTGTAAACATAGTAATTCCCATGTTCTTGTTTCCTCACTGAAACTCTTCCTCACCGATATAGCCCATGGGTTTTGTTTGCTTTTTTTTTTTTATTTTTAGTAGTACATTTCAGAGAGCTTTTGATACAGATTTGCTTAAGATTTTGGGTCTGATTGAAGCTATTGGAACGTATTTGAAACCTTCCAACTTAAGATGTCTATGAAGGTCCTGTTTTCAGCTTTTCTGTACCCAGGGTGGGGTTACAGGCCTTTTTGAAATGTCCACCGAGTCTGCACTAACGTAGAACCTATGGGATTATAATATTAGTAATTTAGGAAAAAAAGCCTTCTGCTGAAAACACTATTCTTGGCTATGTACTAGTGACTGGATTTCATCTTACGGGTTGCATGGAAGGTGAAACATAAAAGTAGCCCTGGCTGAGGTGTGCAAAGCTGGGACAGCCTTGTGCTGTTGCTGGCTGTGGCACTGGCAGCACTGGTGTGCCTGTGACGGTCAGGATGGATCTGTGTGGAAAATTCCCACCACGCACACGCTTTTGTTGGCAGTGTAGTTAAAAAGCCCAAACCTCTGGTTCAAACCTGTGAAGGTCTGTTAGAGGGTTTGGACAGCTGGCCAGCTGTATGGAGAGCAAATGACAATGATGTGTTTGCTGCTTGTCTGAGGGGAGGAAAATTGTTTGGGCCACACCTGATGGAAGTTTTTTATGCATGTTGGGAAGTCTTGGGAGTACTAGAGAGTGCTGTGGAATATCCAGATCAGAAATGCCAGAAGACAATAAATATTGTTTTGGTTCTAATATAGTATGTTTAAATTATATGTTCAAATGCAATAGCTTAGAATGAGTGTCTCATCCAAAGATTTGCTGTGGCTTAGCAGAGTGCCTAGGGGATGGGCAGGTAGATGCTTCTGGGAGCTGGGCACCCTTCGCTGGATGACTCACTTGGGCCTTCAGCTTTGCCAAAATCCATGGATATGTTTTCGTCATACCTGTTTCTGGCTCCAGTTCAGGGTTCTCACCTTGACCCCTCGATGAACTGGATCAGAAACTCTGTCAGCCACAGTCTGACAGAGGCTTCAGCATAATTTTAACTTCAGTCATGTGAGTTGTCCTAGTGAAATTAAAGAGTGATACTAACAAGCAAGCTTGCATGCAAAGGTTTTAAGCTCAGGGCTGCCTCTCACAAGCTTTTCAGGGTGTGAACTATGCATCTTTTTTACTCTCATGGGGCTGAGAACAAATGCCTTATCGTGTTTGGGTTCCATACGGAAGAGCTGACCACACTTGGGACCAGTACTGGCAGAGTAGGAGCAGTGGTGCTTCTCTGCTGGAGTTTTATGGAGGATTAGTTTGTGCTTGGGACCTGAAGTCTTGCTAGAAGCTAATGAAGCTTATACTCCTAAATGCTCAAGCCATCCTTTCGAGGAGAATTTAGTTTTCCAAGTCAGTGAAATGTTTTTCAGACTGTGACCCCAATCAGTTGATGGTGCCTAGAGGATATGGGTCTAGAGGTATGCATGGACCTAGATGATGCGCTGATCAGTTGGTGTGACTCTACCAAAGACCCTGCGGCTTGTGGTTTTGACCACATGGCTGTTGACTTTGAGACCTGGACTAAGGCTCCAGCCCTTTTAAGAGGGGATCTTACATTGCCCTTTGTATACCTGTGTTTATTTGTCTGCCAGTTCTGCAGCCCTTCTGTAGATCAGGGTATTCAGGCAAGAAATTTCACTGACTTGAGCATGGTTGTTCAGCTGAGTAAATGGTTTGCAATCTGAGTTCAAAGCAGTAGATTTTGGGTGTGAGTTCTGTCTTTTTGTGGAGCATGTGGGAAACTAGTTTCCAGAGCTTGGGATCTTGGCATGCCTTAAATTCTTTCCTGTTCTTACGCTTTGCCTCTATCCGGTGGGTGGGTGGGTGGGCTGGAAGTGAGATGAGAGGCTGGGCTTTCCTCTCCTTTACAGAAAGCAGCTCTTCCAGAGAAATTCCACAGCTGTTTCTGAGTCTGTCCGGAGTTGCCTGCCTGTTTTGTTGATGCTGTTTTCTACTGCTGTACTGTGCTCTGTGATGGGAGCAGAGGAGTCCTTGGAACTGATGTAGCTCTGTAGCATGATCCGTGAAACCGAGTGGGGTTAGAGGAAACCCTTCCAGCTCTCATCAGTGCAGCATCTCCCTGTGTCCTGGGCTGGCAAGGGCTCAGCATTTGTTGGTACGACTGCAGCAGATCTGCCCCCAAAGGCACCTTCGGTGGCCAAGCAGCAGAAGCATGGGCTTTGGGATGCTGGGGATGGTTAGCAGGATGCTGAAGTCTCTGGGATGAGTTCATTTCCACAGCTGGTGCTTGTGAAGGAGAAAGGAGCCCGAGCTGCTTTCACAGTTAGGAGCTGAGTAATAGTCCTTTATCCCTACAAGGCATTTCACCCCTTTCAGATGCAAATCCCCTTGCCCTGTCTGTCTTCCTGCTGCAGAAATTACCCCTCTGGAGTAACTCCCAGATGTAAATGAGTTTGCAATTTGCCCCTTCCTGCTCCAGCTACAAAACAGCTGGGTGGTTACAGAGCTGAACTGCACTGTGTGCTGTGCAGCTTCCAGGCTCGATTGAGCAAGGCGTTGTTTTCTGGACCATAGCAGAACATGGAAACACCACTAATCAAACACACCACAGTTTTCATCTGGTTTTATTTTATTTCATTTTAACTTAGTTTCCCTGGGAAATGAGCGCTTTTGTCGCCTGCTTGGCCAGTTTCAACCAGATTGCACCAATGGTTGGCAGTCTGGAAGATCACTAATTTCCCACTTGTCTTTGTTAAGATTAGTGGCTGGCTGGGAAATCTTTAAAGCAGTGCTCTCTCTGACAAAAACTAGACTGTTTACAGCTATTCTCTGTTCTGCCTGGTAGCAGCTGCCTGGCCAGGCATTGCATGCGTGATGGTCAAACATACAACATCTCTGTAGCCCTGGCCAGTTTGCAGGGTGTACACGGTCTCCAGGGCATGTGTGGCTATGAGGTAACATCGGAGGGAGCCACAGTGGCTGCAGCGGAGGGGCAGGAGGGCAGAGGACACAGATCTCCCACAGATGGGTCCCATTTGGTACTCTTCCTTGTAGCCTGGCTACCCTTTAGTTTGTCAAGCTAAAGCTGCCTGAGATTTAAGAAGGCTTGTCAGGCTGACAGCCACAGCTTGGAGCCTGCTTTCTTTGACCTCCAGGACACCTTGGGCTGAATGAAGGTGAGCATTGGATCAGATGGGAATGTGCATCCTGGGCAGGACTTATGCAAAAACTTACACATGTGCAGTGGCAGCATGATAATCTGGATGTTCATCAGCATCATCCTGTTGAATTCAATGATAAGTTGACACGGATAACATTCAGTGCCATATGTTTTTCATGGAATAGCTTCTGAGAGTGAATACAGTCCTTGATTCCCACACAGCCCCCTGCAGGTGTGCACTTGGGCTGATGGGGTGCTGTAAGATGTCAGGGGCATGCTTCTGTGTTTCTAAGCATCCTGGTATAGATGCAGCTGGTTTGGCTTGGGTGGTCTACCTTGGAAATCTGGACAACACTGTACTAAGAAAAGCAGACTCACCCTCACTCAGGCTGTGTCTATGCTAGACAGTATAGATGTTTTGGATGTGGTGGGCACATTTCTTCCAGACTTGGACTGAAGGAAGGACGAGCATTGACATTAGAAATAAGAGTGTCAGAGGTGTCAGGAGCATTTGTGGGATGCACATGCAACTCTTCAGCCCGTGCTTGTTTTGATACCCTCTTTGTTGCTGCTGGTCTTCAGCAAATACATACCTGTTGTCCTGTCTCCTGTTCTTCAGAAATCACCAGTGTCACTCTCTAATGTCAAAATATTATGTGACACCTTAGAGGACCAAGGTGAGTCTCAAACACCCATATACCACTTCTGTTCAGACAACCTGTGAGGGGAGTAAAAACAGATGTATCTGTCAAGGTGAGATGAAGGGAGGAACTGTGTAGCTGGCCCCATCGTGAGTTATGGAGGATGTGGAGCACCAAGTCGTGCCAACCAGTCAAAAGGAGATGTCATTCCCTTTCTGCACTCACAAACTCTGCCTGGGAACCTCTGGCATCCGAATGCACTGTTAGAGAAGTGTCAGTGAAGGAGAACATCTCTTGCTTCCCTTCTTTTCTTCTCTATGGGCACCAACTCAGACCACTGGCATCTTGGCATGGTAGATGACTGTGGTGAGAATGGACTCTTGGGCTTCGCCAAGACATCCTGTGCACGTCCCTCCTCTGATGCTGCCAGCCACCCAGACTTCTGTATCAGAAAGCCTAAAACATTGCTGCGGTACCATCTCTGCCTGTTGTTAAACATTTTGGGCTAAGTGTATACATTTAGTGATGATGTAGTGCCTTCTGTGTTAGCTTTTAAACTGAACTGAGCAGGTTGCATGCCAAGAGGAAAGGATTGCAATGCTTTCATCCCAACAATGGACTTTTCCACAGTGGAGCTTTTCCAAAAGATGTCCACTGGAAAGGGTTACGGCCCAAGTACCTGGGACACTGCAGGCTCTGACTGACTGCACTTCAGGGACTTGATAGCTCCAGCTTTTGCAGGCTTTTCTCTATGAGGATGGGGAAAGATGGAAGTGAAGCTTGCTTTGTTAGGAACAAAAAAGCATGTAAAGCTTGTGGTAGTAGCTGCCAGCACCTGTTAGACAAGGTATCAGTGCTGTTTAGAAGAAAACGTGGGTGTGTGTTTGCAAGTGGGGACATACAAAGGCAAATAAGACTTTTTAAAAAGCATGAAGCATGCATAGGGAGT